GTTTTTCTGTGGCTTATCCCTGTGTTCTCTAGCCACCTTTGAAACTCTGTGTTCATGAATTCTGAACCTCTATCAGACTGCAATTGCGCCACTTGGTGGCCAAAGCGTTGTTCAATTAATTTCACCCATTTCTTAAATGTTTGAAAGACCTCTGTTTTTGATTTTAGTGTAAAGCAGTATGAAAAACGTGTGCAATCGTCAATTATCACCAATGCATATTTTGCCCCTCCTAATGAGGGTGAGAATGGTCCTGTTAAATCAGCGTGTACCGATATATTTTGACAATTGTAGACGATTTTTCCCGGTATGGTTACTGCTTTGTGATGAAAAGTAAGTCAGAGGTGTATAAACATTTCAGGAATTGGGTGTCTTACGTGGAGAAACGCTTTGATAAGCGTGTGGCACAGATACAGACGGACAGAGGAACAGAGTTCATGTCAGAAAAGTCAGCTCAAAAGGTCTATTTGTCTTTCTGACACTCAGTTTCCCTTTTGGAGCCACATGCATTTTAGATTTCTTACACACCTGGCAATCTAAGTAATTTTTACAATCTTTTATATTTACACCTCTAGCAATGTTCTCCATTCTCTGCACAGTTTTAAAGTTCACATGCCCCAGTCTTCTGTGTAGCAAGTGTATGCAATTGTTATGTTGGGGTTCATTCTTATTCATCATGTGTGTGTCTCTATGTGTTCTGCTTTTTAACACATACAAATTGTCCTCTTGTTTTGCTTTTGCAACTACTCTGTTCTTTTTCTTAATTATGCATTCCCCTTTTTCAAATATCACAGAAAACCCCTGTCTGTCAAGGGCTGAGACACTTATCAAATGACAGTCAATGTTGGGGACCAGTAAAACGTTACTTATCTCTTCCTTCAGACTGGGAATATATATCCTTCCTTCTGCTTCAACATCTGCTTTCTCTCCATTTGCCAGTGTCACGCTTCTCAGCTCCGTGTCTCCTAGAAAACAAAACATTTCTGGATCATTAGTAAGGTGATTTACAGCTCCGCTATCTATAATCCAGGGAACAGCTGTGTTCACACCCTTGAATGCCTTATCTCTTGTTTTCTCAACAAGAGAAATTCCTTTTCTGTTATTTTCTCTGGAGCGTCTGTAAACTGCTGCTAGTTCCCTTCTATTTGAAATCGTCTCTCCTTTTAAGCAGTCTTTCTGAAGATGACTTCTTGATCCACATCTATAACATGCTTTAATCATCATGGCACGCCCACGCTGTTCTCGGTCTGTAGCTGGCGTCCTTCTTTTCACACTGCCCTGTGGAATCTGTCTGCATCTCTCCCGGTCAGCTCCCATGTGGCTTCCTTCAGCAGTTTGGGACCTCTCCTTCCAGCGATCCTCCTCCTGCAAAATTCTACTTGTAATGTACTCAAGAGTCAGTTGTGTGTCAGGCAAACTTTCCAAACTTGTAATCAGCATATTAGATTCAGTGGCCAGACTGCTCAAAATCACGAAGACCTTCTGTTCCTCTGTAAAATGAACATTCATTAACTGCAGTTCATTAAACAGTCCCTTCATTGTTTGTAGATGCTTGGAAGCACATTCCCCAGACTGCATTCGACACTTATACAGCCTTCTGGTTAAAGAGATCTTCATACCTGCTGTTTCTCTTAAATAAATGTTTCTTAATCTGTCCCAGACTGCCTTGGCTGTGGTCAGTCCGTGCACATGCACTAACTGTTCATCTTCAACGGACAAAATTAGGGTACTTATAGCCTTCTCATGCTCTCTTTCCTCCTCCTCAGTTAACTGTGCTGGAGGATTACTCACATATGACCATAATGATTTTCTTCTTAACAGCATTTCTGCCTTCACTGCCCATGTTCTATAGTTATTGTCATTCAGCCTGTTTATTGCTAACCCACCTATGCCTCCTGCGCTCAACGCCATCCTACCTTCTCTTGCAGTTCTCTGTTTCCTTTCCCCTCCTGGGCTAACAGATGAACTGTCTTCTCCCAATTCTTCTATGTCACTGCCACTTTCTCTCTCTTCTTTCATTTATATACTTCACCCACGTTACTCACCACCATCTTGACTTTAAATGGCTTGCGCAGCACATGTTGCTGGGCCCATGACCTCTGTCACAGATTTTGTGGAGGACACACCAATTCTTCCAACTTTTCTTCATGAGACTAAATAAGTCAATAGTAATACATGGAAGCTCACACTGGAATAAATTTGTTAGTCTGAAAGGGGACACAATATCTTTGTTTAAGTTTTAATGTTTTGTCACAGATTTGGTGACAGGAAAAATGCAGAGTTATTGAAGAAACTTACAAGTTCTTCTTCTTTTGCAAGACGGTTATATTTACAGTATTTACAAGTATTTACAGGCAGGTGTCACATCAGCATGGCAGGAACTCTTTACACAAACAGACATAGTGGATAGCAGCAAATGGTGAAGAAAGAAGAGAATGATACACAGACACTGTTCACTTATATACATATACATGGCATCTCTAGTCCAATCAGAAGACACATGACTTCATCTTCTGCACCTGGTGTCTTCTTATTTCCAGACATTGCATCATCTTCAGAGTGACTCAGCATACTCACATCTGTGCACAATGGCAGCTCATTATTAATACATTTATTCAGGTTCAGGCCTATAAAATTTCTGTATTCTGACATGTTTTAGAGTTACTGTGCCAGTAAAAGTCGTACTCAACAGTATTATAATTTTAACTTCTAATGGAATTGTTATGATTGTGTTTATTCCGAATATTAACACTATAGTTCTTCTAGTGTTATTAAAACTTACCATACATATTTATGGGTTGCCATATTTACAAGTTGTCTTTCCTCCCCAAAACTGGGTTTTTGTTGCTCTCCTGGTGAGCTGCTTTAACAGAGGGACTTGTGGGCAGGAAGATAAGAAGTGGCAAGAAACATTGCTTTAAACTTCAGGTGGGCAGCTTCTGCATTTTCAGTGATCATTCTGGTGTAGAGGGCAAAAGCATATTTTTGTTTCCTCTCTCAAAGTCCCCCACTAGGAGTCAAGCTCCATAGTAAAGTTAGCATTTTCCTCAGTAGATAGATAATTTGAAGCAGGGGCACATGAAGCAGAGGCTCAGATTGTTATGGCTGCTGCCACTCCTTCCTGGAAGGGAAAACTTCTCCACAACCTGGTGGCCAGGGGAGGGCTCCACTTCCACCATTCTAAGAAGGAAATGACATTCTATCCATAATTTTTCTGCTTGAGACATTGTCTTTTGGAAACCACTAGTTTTTGTGCCACCTGCTAGTCCATTGCCCTTCCCTAATTATTTTTGTCCCTCAGAGAAAGGTGGGATAGCAGTCTGGAAAGGTCTGGCATGTGTGCCCTCTGAGAGATTAATGCCCAGAGAGTCCCCTTGTGTAAAACTATTCAATAATCTCTAGCAGTAACTGAGCAGCATGAATGTTCAAATACAGCATTGATATTTAACATGTGCACTACTTACAAAATCCAAACAAACATATGAATTGTCTCTTACTACTTACTACTTGAAATCATTTCTTTATTCCTTTTGAGTGAAAATGTGGACGAACGTTATTTAAACCAGAAATTGATTGAAATGTTGTACAGGGCTGCTCTATTGCCTTTATGTTTTTCCAGTTGTCTAGATAGTATTTCATGTATTATATTAATTTACGTTTTAGTCTGTAAACTGTTCAACACTGTAAAACAGTATTTTTTGTTACATTTAACTGGTATTAAATGGGCATGGGTTTGGTGTTTTCAGAGTGAGACAATGTTTATTAACCTCTTCTAATTTTTATTATTGCACAATGGACCTGTTCTGCTAATATAAGCAGCCATACCCTGTAAGTGTGCACCAGAAAAAAATACAGTACAAAATGTGTATATGACATACTGTGTAACTTGTTGAAAAAAAAAATGCCAAAGCTTGCTTAGAATGTGCAATATTTCAGCCTGGGAAATATTAAGCACAAAATCATTTATTTCTCAAAAACTGTTAATATGCATTAAGCTTTCTTTTGTGCCTCAGTAGAAGAATAAAAATTAAGGTCACAACGTACCTAAAATTAAGCTCACTAAAGCACATTGTTTTTACTGAGATAATTGAGCATTTGCTTATCGCTTTTTGCTGAAATTAGTGGGAATAAAACTATAGTGTGATATGCTAGATGAAGAGAGATGTGACATAGAATAGTGAGGTCAGTTTGGAAGTAATTATTGTATTCAATTGACACTTCTGATTTCTGATGATGAGCAGTAAAAATGCACATTCTCTGATATCAGAATTACTGTTTTAAACAGAGGGAGGGCAGTACTCACATGATTTAGTGCCCATAACTCTAATTTTTTAAATTAAATGTGATGAGTAAAAATTAAGTGAATAAATATATATGTAGCATTTGAAAAAAAAAAACAGGCAAACACTCTGTCCCAATGTGATTGGTTGATTGGTTGGTTGGTTGGTTTGGTATATGTTAACATTTCTTTGGATGTTAAAATGTGAAGTTTTAATGCATATTAAAAGTGATGTGTAATCATTCTGTCCTTCACAGAAAGTTTTGTCTGTCTCAACATCCCTTTTGTATATTCTCATTTGCCCACAACGCAGCAATAAGCATTCTTTAACATCTTTGTAACTGGATACGTAGGTATTTTATTAAAATGCATAGATTCCATTGAAAACAATGAATAAACAGAGCTGTACATTAATTGAAAATGTCTGCTCTTTTTATTACTGGATACAAGTAAACATGGCATGCTTAGTTCACATCATATTCTCACTGGGAAGATAGTTGCATGCACATCCTAAAATTAAACCAGATATGGACTTTTCAACAGAAAATGGGATGCAAACAATTTCATAGTGAATCAGGTAGTAAAGGTTATTGTAGATACTGAACTATCTAAAGCACACATTATGTCTTTATCTAGTTCTTAATGAAGTGGCAAACCTGGCACTGGGTTGTACCACTACAGGTAGAGGGATGCAAAACAAATCAAAATCAAACTTGCATATTTTGTACATTTCTGTTCTATATGTATGTATTTCCACTTTCACTGAAGGTGAACAGCCTACACATAGGATTACTGCCTTGACAAGGATTAGGCACATTCCATTATAATAAATGAACAGAATTAGAAAACTCAGGCTTGCATCAACATGCACAAACACTTAATTTTTGTGTGTATTAGTGTGTACATTAGAATTCCATCTTATGTGGAAATTGCATTTGTGACTTGCTTTTTTCAGCTTCAAGTTTCTCTTTACATTTTGTTGCATAGAGCTGCATCCCAACAAGACATTATGTTAGCATGTGGTGGACAATCTTTTGTCACATAAAAGTACTCACAAACATTCTAATTTCTTTTAGATATAAAAGGTGTACTGGAAGCTATTGGTTCAAATATCACGGCTTTTACACAAATGCTTCCTGTCCAGAAGGTACTAGCAGACTTCACAATATATCTTACTCAGAGCGAGGCATATGTTCAAGATCATTTTCCATTAGTGGAGCAGTATGATTTTTACAGGTATGTGCATACTGTTTTGATGATGATGTTCAAAGGCTGCACAAAAGGTTAACACACCAGTAAAATTTGTGGCTACAGCATGTGATCATCTACAGCATGGTGAAAGCATCTGGGTATAGTAGAGGCTCCAGTTAAAGTGGAGAGCTTTCATGGCTTCAAGGAAAATGCAGATGCACAGTACAATGGAGGAGAATGTATTATCAATAATTTATTGCTCAATCAAAAGATTATTGCACTACAGTATTAAATAAATAAAATAAAATAATACACAACATTGTCACTGTACATTATACTTCTAGGTTTTATAGCACTTCATACCAAAGATCTCCACAAATCAGTGTACTACATACTGAAATAATACAAATTTATAATAACAAATTTACAAAATGCATCTTTATAATAATTCACTCAAATAGTAGCCAGATACTTAGCTCTACATATAGTGGCCTTGACAGTAAATAACACAACTCTTCGTATGACATGCAGATTAGATGCTTGTAATAAATAGCTCAATTTCTCAGTTATATCCTTATATTTCACATTCTTTAAAATGGGTTGTAAGTATCTTTCTCTTATATTTCTATATAGGTGACACTCAAGCACATAGTGAGTCATATCCTCAAGGATTGGTTCTCTGCTCACACAAAACTTGTCTTTTGCTGAGATACCTTGAAATCTACCCCATTTCATCATAGTGTCTGTTCAAAGCTTAAACATGGCTCTACACACCTCAAATCAACATGGCCATATCTAGAAAAAAATTAAATAAGAGACTCAGAGAAGTTGCATTGCATCTTTAGATTTTGCCACACATTATTACTTAGTCATAATCTCACCTTGCCCTTCGTAACCCACCCTCCCTACTTGGTGAAGGGAAGTTGAATTATGGAGGGCAGATGAGGTGCGGTAGAATTGGTAAGGCTGAATCTTTTTTGGGGCTTAGTTTCTTTTGTTGTATTGACAAATGTGAAATAGGTGCTGGGATATATATATAAGGACCCCTATATATGTGAGGAATGATTCCTCACCCCCTCCCTGCATGCTGAAGAACATGGATTATAACAAATGGTATTATAATAGCACACACTATGGATAGCATGGTCTCTGGCTCAGTCTAGTGGCCAGTTCTGGTAAATTCCTCATTAGGAATATATTTTGGGGATTTTTCTTTTAATATTTTTAATATTTCCTGATAATTCAATGAACAGATACTGATCCCGTGGATAAGTAGGTCCTACTGTATTTGGTTTTCTTCATAATCTTAACCAGGACTCTATTGTTTTCCATTTTATCGGTTGCCCTCTCTTTAATCTCAGTGTTAAATTATGCTATGGTGCACATTTTAATTTTGTAACTGTCTTTTTATTGTTTTTAGGTGGCTAGGTTGCTTAATTCTGTGCTGCATGGTGATACTGATTCTTGTATTTTATTATCTGGGACTATTATGTGGCACCTGTGGTTATGACAAAAATGCTACTCCAACAACAAGAGGCTGTATCTCAAATACTGGAGGAAATTTCTTGATGGCGTGAGTTCTTATTGCTTCAGAATTTCACCAAATTAACAGGACTGCATTACAAAAACATGTTTGGGAGACTAAAGGAAGAGAGCAACACTAGCAAAAAATATATAAAAAAATAAAAATTGGGGACCAACCAGGCTTCACAATCAGTTGTGTGAGCTTTGGAAATCCATATAATCCTTCCTCAAGCAATACTTAAACAAATGATATTTTAAATAAATAATACTGATCTCTTAAGAAGCTGTTATGATTATAAGAGTCCTCTGCATACCTTTGATATGAAGATGGGAGCCTTGTGCAAAAGGGTGTTCATGCAGAATCTGAGGAAAAATAGAAGACACTGGCATGGCACACGCACACCGTTTTTGAGTTATCCACCTAAGATTCATTATGTCTCTCAGTTATGACCAGCATACGCATGGTCATACCTCATGCTTGTCACAGTCAGAATCAGCTGATAATTTCTCCTAAGTGTGATTTGGTGATAGTTCCATGTTTGTGGACACATAGTGAATGAAAGGACCTCATTCAACACAACTCTGTAGTGAGTTCATTAAGAAAATTGATTTGGCCAATATATGTTGGAGGCTGGAGCTTATTAAACGATATTACTGTAATTAAACTCTCTTTGCTGTAGTTTTAGAAGAGATACCCATGTTAATCTATGCAAGCGTATCAGGCAAAAACAAAAGAAAAAGAGAAAAGCATATCTAACATTAATCTTCAAAAAAGATAATGATGCACTGCAACCACAGTCGTACAGACTAATCTCCCTGCTTAATATCAGTTATAAAAAATTTTCCCTTGATAATGGCAAACAGACTTAAGATGTGTATTACAAAAATAATATACCCTGATTAGACTGGATTCATCCCTAAGAGGCTCATGTGAGAGAACATAAGATTTGCAATAGATGCAATGGAATTTGTAGAAAAACAACATAAAACAGCATGCAGAGAAGGCATTTGATAACATTTCTTGAAGCTTTCTAAGTAAAGTTTTGCAGCACTTGAGCCTCGTGGCGCAGTGGTTAAACCACTGTACTGCAGCCAAAACTGTGCTCATGACCTGGGGTTCAATCCCAGGTAGCTGGGTCAAGGTTGACTCAGCCTTCTATCCTTCCGAAGTCGGTAAAATGAGTACCCAGCTTGCGGGGGGGGGGGGCAATATGTAGCCTGCATAATTAACTTGTAAACTGCCCAGAGAGTGCTTGAAGTGCTATGGGCGGTATATAAGCAGCACGCTTTGCTTTTTTGCTTTGAATTGTGGCACGCAGTTCAAAAACTGGACTCAAGGAATTTATAAGAAACAATATGCAAAATAAGAATAATCGGGGTTTTAACTCATGAGTTTATTGTTGAGAAGGGAATCAGACAAAGCTGTCCATTATCATCACTGTTGTTTATTTTAGAATTGAAGACCTTTGCAACTAAGATTAGAGAAAACAGCCAAATTGAAGGATTAAAGATAGACGGAGAGGAATTTAAACTAAGAAGTTATGCAGATGACTTATACTGTCAAGCAGCATGTTTAGTGTGGATTATAGACTGGATAAAAAGCCTAAATGACAGGTTAATGAAGCTGGAATCAACAGATCAATGAGAAGGTCTAGAAAACCTGGATTTTAAAAAAAAGAGCTAAATCCCACTATAAAGCCATATAATCAAGGATAGCCTGGGATTCCTTGGGATAACATGGGATTCCTTAAAATGGAGGCTTAGTCTAACAATATCACTGATAATGGCCCCAACGGATGCATATTACTGTACAACAAGCAAGAGAGAATGATACATGACCTGATAACTTTTCAGGAGATGATAGATTTTACAGATAGGAATCAAATCTTGGCAAGTAATAAAAGAGAAAGGAAAAAAGAGAAGTTGGCTGTCTTCAATTAATTTCAAGATATAAAGAGGCTACACAAGATAATAGAGGAAGATTAAGAAAATTAACAGCATTTGAGAGAATAATTATGCAAAAAACAAGAGAATCTTAGGAATGGTGCCAGTTAAAAGCAATATGTTAAAGCACAATATAAGGAAAATTTATAACTGTCCAACAATGGAAGGGACTATGAGAATATAAAATATAAAATTCATTCCAAGTCAGACCTTAAGAGAAAATTAGTATACAATGGTATATTACTCTAAAAGACATAAAACACTGACAAAAGCTAGCTGCCTAGAGTGGTCGCAAGACCAGATAGGCGGGGTACAAATAAAAT